TATAAGGAATATAAGGACAGGAACCATCAGTCAGTGATTGGCCATGCATGAAGGGCTGGTAAAATGTACTTATTTTTCCCTGGCAGAAGTTACATGAAAAACCACACGTCTGATAGAGGGCCTACACAAAACTCTACAGGGATGTGAGCAAGTACCCCAACAGAAACTGGGCAAAAGCCATCAACAGACGTCTCACTGACAAGGACATACCAATGGTAAATGACCAGTACATGAAAGAATGGTCAACACCATCTGCCATTAGGAAATGCAAATTAAAACCACAATGAGGTATTACAGGCACCTATTCAAGGGGCTAAGTTAAAACAACAAGGATAAACACTAATGAGAATGTGGAAATGTAACATGCTATAGCGCTCTAGACGAGAGCGGGGAAGTCTAAGAACTACTTCCCACACAGCACAGCAATTGCCCTCTTAGGCATCATCCCAGAGTGACAAAAACTTACATTCACACAAGAACCTTCCGGGCTAAGGGCCAAATCCGACCCCTGTGACCACCTTTAAGCACACTGCAGTAGCATCCACACCCTGGAGGAGTGTTAGCAAGGAAAAGCAAGGAAAAGGTAACAACTAGCAAACCAGCATACATGCCACACCCTGGAGGGGCATTTCACCAGGATGCCGCTGAGTGGGAAGGCAGCCTCCAAAGGTCACCCTCTTGATGATTCCACTTCCACAACAAAGGAACAAAGTCACAGACGTGGTGAGCAGAGGAGGGAGCCAGAGGCTGAGAAGGGAGCGGCTGCCTCGGGAGACCTCGTGCTGGAGCTAGTCCACCTTGAAAAGGTCCCTGGGGTCACACGTGACGAACTGAGCAGAACTAAACACATACACAAGGAGTTCAAGATTGAACACAAACATTTTAATTGTCTAAAACGAGATTTTTCTTTAAGGAAGTTTTCTACAGTTCAAAGCTCACTTCTTTATGTGTCCCATCCACGACCCTTTCAGGAGACATAAAATTATGAAGGCTATCACCAGAAGCTACGTAAACATTTCATCTAAGGGCCAAGAGAAAGTTCAGGGTGTTTTCACAGGGAAGCCGAAGAGGACAAGTGGCGTGAGACAAGCTGAGCATGGTCACAGAAATACTGGGGAAGAACTCGAGTGAAGGACCAAGGTGATAGCGAGGAGGGGAAGCCAACAGCTCCATCGGACCACGTGAGGAAACCCAGGGCCAGTGCTGGCTTTGGTTAGCTAGGTAACCCCTGTATTTGTTTTGTTTTTCTGTAGGCGACTTTAATAATCTTGTCGAAAAACCAGTCCCAATCCTACCGCATTGAAAAGAAGTCCTCATTGACTTGTTGGGTGTAGGTGGTGCCCCATGTTCTCCCACACCAAAAGAAATCAGTTCTGGCAAGAAAACTCCACTGTGCCTTGATGGTACTGTTAGGAGGATGGCCTTGAGCTAGGCCAGGCACGTCCCAGCGATGTTCTGCTGGCTGCCACCAGGGCCGGAAGACTGAGCCGCATTACTCTATCAACTTCTTGGCCTTGAAGAAGCGACGCAGGTAGAAGACCTGCCAGGTGGCTAGTCCAATGAGGCAGAACATGGAGAAGATGCTGAAGTACAGGACTCGGGTGTTCGTGGACTCATTCGTGTCCCGCATCTCCTCTTCCCGCTTCTTCATGTAGGCAAAATCATTAACAATGGATTCCGAAAGGTCCTCTAGGCGTCGTAGCTCCACCTCCAATGGCTTGAGTTTCTCAACTTTTGCAATCTCTTCATAATTTTTCGCCTCTACTCCATGCTTCATGTCTAGAATCACGAGTTGGTCAGGTATCCGCCCGGTTCCCTTGCTCTCGAAACACACTTCAAACATGTCATAATCTTCCGTGGTAAAGGCAAACTTCCCCTTAGTTGCATCCTCTTTGGCGTATAGAATATGGCCAGCAGAATCTGTAATCTTGAGGTGGGTGCGCAGGCCGCCGGCGCCCCCGGACTGGTCGGTGATCTCGTAGGCGCCCGTCACCAGCAGGTCCTTGTGGATCTCCTCGCGGAGACACTTGCGGGAGTTCACGGGCAGGTGGAAGGAGATGGCGGCGACCGAGCTGGGGCCCAGCAGGAAGAGGAAGAGCAGCGCGGACGGGCGAGGGCCAGGCCGGGAGAGCGGGCCAGACAAACCAGACATGGTGCCGGAGCCTCGTTCACCACCCGGGGCCTCCAGCCCTACTTAAGAGTTTTACATCCTCCTCATCTCCCTCTTCTGACTCTGCATCTTCCTCTATAGCCACTGGGTGCTGTTCACTGATGTGCACAGGCCCTGAACCACACTTTAACCTTAAGACCACAGCTGGTGTAATCTCACAGCCCCCAGGGGGAACAGCTGGTTGTACAGACATTTTCACAGTTGCCAGTGTTACTTTAGTTGGACCACCTTCATAGTTCATTACTTTTGCCTCTACGATGTGTAATTCGTCTTTTGCCCCTGCCCCTAACTGGAGCTCATTCTCATCATTGTCCACCTATAATCTTTGCCAGCCTTTAGTTCATGACCAGAAAGTAGTTCTGAGGCTGAAGAGGGCTCATGTCCATCGGGTCTTCCATGAGGTGGAGGCATGCACTTTGGCGTGAAGTTGGAGGGAGAAAACTGCCTACTGCTCCTCAGAACAGACACAGAGGAAGGAATTACGCCAGGGCATATGCTTTTAATCTCCACTTTCCATTTTCATGTGTGTGTGAGTGGTGTGCATGTGTGTATAGACATGTTTCTTGCACATGTGTGTAGGTGCCTGTGCACCTCTATGCTGGGCATGTGGAGGCCTGAGGTTGCTGTGGAGAGTCATTCCCCTGTGGCTCTTCCACCTTATTCACCGAGGCAGGTCTCTCAATCAAATCCAGAGCTCATCAATAAGGCTAGTCTGGCTAGCTAGCTGGCTTGCTTAGGGATTGTGGTGTCTGCCATCTAAAGCTGGAATTACAGGTGAGTCACTACACTCACATGGGATTTCCCTGGGTTTCTAGAGATCCAAACTTTGGGTCCTCACACTTGTGAAGCAGTCCCTTTAACCACTAAACTTCTCCTAGCCCTGGGCACAGCTTTTCTTTAATTTTAGCCTGTTTGAGATTTGCTAGTCTTGAATCTGACGAGTTCAGCCACCATTTCTCTGAATATTCCTCCAGTCTCATTTTCTCCTTTTTCTCATCCCACGGTTGCGACCGCGTGAATATTGGGTTTCTTTCATTATGTTTTAAACTCATTTTCTTCTGTTGCTCTGACTGGGTGGGGAGAATCTGTTTGTCTGTCTTCTCATCCACTGATGTCGTCTTTTGTTATCGCCACTCTAAATTCATCCAGCTATTAAAAAACTCTTATTGTGTTTTCAGGTTCTCTAATGTCCATCATAGAGTCTATTTAAAAGTTGTATGTTATGTATATGTGTATATCTGTACAGCTTCAGTCTTTATTAGGACTATTTTTTTCCATTTGTTTCAAGATAGCTTGTAATCTGTCATTGAAGCATTTTTAGGATAGCTTTTTAAAAAAATGATCCGTAGATAATTCCCATGTCTGATTCATCTCAGTGGGTGTTGTTGATTGCCTTTCCTCATTTGCATTCTGATTTTTCTTGATTTGGGGTATTATAGGTGGTTTTTAAATTGCATCTTGGACATTTTATGGATCACATTAGGAGACTCAGGTCTTAGCTGAGCTTTGTGTTTTAGTGGTACTCTGTGTTTAGTGCACAGGAGTCTGGACAGTATCTTCAAAGACAGTTGATTTCAGAGCCTTTCTGATGTTGGCTGATCCTCGTGGTTTATCTGATGCTGCCAGCGTCTGGTAGCTTCTGCTTGTGTTTACCAAGGGGTAAAGGCAGAATTGCCAGGTGTCTCTTGGGGAAGGAAGGGAGTCTCAGGCAGGTGAGGGTAGGCGGCTGTTTTCCAGAGTGACATGCTGTTGGTGGATGGCTGCCATTCCCATTGTGGTGCTGTGTTTTCTAGATGTCTCTTTGGTCTGGGAGAGGACTGAGCCAGGTCCTCTTCTTCTGCGAGGCTGGGGTTTGCTCTTGTCTGTTGTTCTGTTGGGTTGGGATATAAGATGTTCTGTTACCTGCTCCTCTAGTCCTAGGTCACAAAACACTTTGTTTTCTTAACACAGTTCAGAGTTGTCTTCAGGTGACCTGGCATCATTTCTAGGGTTTATAGTTACATTTGAGAGAGAGAGAGAGAGAGAGAGAGAGAGAGAGAGAGAGAGAGAGAGGGGGGCAGCGAGTCAGTTCTAAACCATCTTGCTAAGCTTGAATTCTAGATTTTTTTATATTTAAATATACCATTTCTAGAAAACATATTGCTTGGTATTTCTTTTTAAGAATATTTAGCATCTCTCTCTCTCTCTCTCTCTATATATATATATATATAAATATATATATATGTATATGTGTATACACATACATACTTAATGAGACATATGTGTATGTGTGTGTGTCTGTCTGTCTGTCTCATTATGTAGCCCAGGATAGCTTCACACTCATTATCTTCCCACTTCAGCGTCCTGAGTACTGGGATGATATGTGTGCACTCCCACACTCATTTTCCTTTTCTTTATTATAACTTGGATTCATTTTAATGCTCTTTGATGTCATCTTATTTTATGCAATATAACTTTTTACACTCCCTCCCTTTCTGATGTTAATTGATTAAAGCAAGTTTTATTTTCTTGGTTCTGGAAGATGTTCTATTCTTCACACGAGAGGGTCACACATCTTACCCTGTTTCCATGAGGTTTGCAGTACAAGCCTGTGAGGGTATTTTCTGGCCTCATTTGATATCAGGCATGGCTTGAAGGATATGAGTTGAAAAGACCTGTCCCTGATGTCAGGATAGCTTTAATGCTCATCCTGTGGTCCCAGGGCCCTTTTCTCTCTGCCGTGGGGTTGAAATAGGCCTGCCTCTCCAGCCCAGTGGTGGAATAAAAAGTTACAAGGGAAACACATCTGCCTTATCTGGCGTACAGCCAACATCTGAATGAGAAATAAACTACTGTTGGTGCAAGCCACTGAGGCGGGGCAGCTCGTTACTGTAGCATAACATCGCACATGCTGACTAGTCGAAAGCGATTCGTTCTAGTTAGAATTTTTCTGGTGATTGGCCTATTAAGACCTCTAATTGTATGCATTTTTCTTATTAACTTCTTAAACCTGTCTCTTGTCATGGAAAAGACATGGACTTCTTTCTCACCTTCATGATAGTCCCACATTGTTCCATCAAGTTGGAGTTGCTTAAAAATCTTAGTTACAGGTGGTTGTGGATCCATGTTTGATTTCGACTCACTTTTTTCTTGTTTACTCTCTTATTTTGCAGCACATTTCTTATTTTATTTATTTTCTTACCAGTATACACTGCAGGTTTTTCAAAGAGAATATTCTAAGCTGGGTATAGCTCATTGGTAAGGTACATGCTGAGGTTGTACAAGGTCTTGTGTTCTCTCCCCAGCATCACACAAGTGCGCGCGCACACACCCACCCACCCCCCACAAATAAATAAGTAAAAAAAAAATCATGATATGCTCAAAGAGAATATTTTGCAGTCTCACCTCTCCTATGCTAAAATTGGGCCGGATATTTAAGTATAAGGTAGAGCTAAAGGTTTACAGGGTGTTTTCTAAACACTGAAATAATACTTTATTGCATTATTGCATTATGAGAGAGAAAGAGAGAGAGAGAGAGAGAGAGAGAGAGAGAGAGAGAGAGAGAATATGTGTGTGTGTGCATGCGTGCGTGCGTGCGTGCGTGCGTGTACCATGGCCCACATGTGGCGGTTGGAGGATAACCAGTAGCAGTCACTTCTGTGCCTGGGGGATTGGACTCAGGTCATCAGGCTTGGTGGCAGGCACCTCCACCCCGGGGCCATCTCACAGCTGGGAGTTGATACTGCAAACAGCTTAGCATCGGCCTGGACTGCTTCACCTCCTGTTCTTTAGCCGTGTCTGTTCTGGTCCTCTGGTCCATGCACCTTCTGACTCTTTCAACAGTCATGTTCCCCATACTGGATTCCCAACCGCCTTGGTTATAACTGTGTCTTCCCACTTCAGACCCTAACAGCTTCCCTCATTTCTTTGAGAATCTTTGGTATAAAACTATTTTTCACATTTATTTATGATGCGCGTGCGCGCGTGCGTGCGTGTGTGTGTGTGTGTGTGTGTGTGTGTGTGTGGCCATGCCACAGCATGCATAGGTCAGGGTCAGAAGACAGCATTCAGGAGTTGGTTCTCTCCTTCCACTACATGAATTCCAGGGACCAAATTTAGGTCATCAGGCAAGGAAACAAACACTTTTCTTCTCTGAGCCATCTTGCTGGCCCACGAAGCTATTTTAAATTCTTGTTCTGCCTAGTTCCCCAGTTAATGTTTAATCTGTTGCAATTTCTTCTTCTTTTTTTCCAACAGGGGTGGCACTCCTCAGCTATTTCCTCATGTTTCCCTGTGAATGCTCACTGCCAGGAGGGGTCAGTGTGACCTTTGCTGTCACAGAGACCATGAGGGACCAGATATAGTCAAGACCCAGCCTCTGTCCCTGTGGTGGTTTAAGTGAGAGTGGTCTCCATAGGCCCCATAGGGAGTGGCACTGTTAGGACTGTGGCCTTGTTGGAGTGGGTGTGGCTTCGTTGGAGGTGGTGTGCCACTAGGGGGTGGGTTTTGAAGTCTCAGAAGCTGTCCAGGGTGGCACTGTCACTTCCTGCTGCCTGCAGATCCAGATGTAGAGCTCTCAGCTACCTCTCCTGCACGGTGTCTGCCTGCGCTCCACCATGCTTCCTGCCATGATGATAATGGACTGAATCTCTGAACTGTGAGCCACTTTCAATTAAGTGTTTTCTTTTATAAGAACTGCTGTGGTCCTGGTGTCTTTTCACAGCAATAAAACCCAACTAAGACACTGGGAGTGGGTTTGAGGTTTCAAAAGCCCATGCCAGGCCCAGTCTCTCCTCTCTCTCTCTCTCTCTCTCTCTCTCTCTCTCTCTGTGCCTACAACTTGTGGATCAGCTACTGCTTCAGCACCATGCCTCTGTCTTGATCTGTGTCATGATGGTCATCCTCTGAAACTGTAACCCCCCGACCCCCAATTCTTCCTTCTATAAGTCGCCTTGGTCATGGGGTCTGTACAACAATAGACAGTCCCTCAAGGTGACCAGAGGGTGTAGAGGGTGGGAGGGTGATTAAGTTCATCTCC